CAGCTCTAGGAAGCCATTACTCATAATTTCTTTCTGTATTTTGCAGGGTGTATAAAGTTGGTGAATTTACAGGGCAGGTTAAAATCCAACAGAAAGCTGTCAACTGAACTCACCTTTAACTTCCAGATTGAGGCAATAGGTAAGAACTAAATTAATACGAGAGTCAAGACTGAGGTGGGGATGTCATTGTGTGCTTTGATTAATAACAATGCATTTGTCTTTTCTCCAGTGTGTCTGCAGGACAGTGTTTTGGCGTTCTGGAAGCATGGAATGCAGGGAAGAAGCTTTAAAAACAGTGAGGTGTGTGGTGTGCCTTTGGTTTTCTAAATTCACCTAGTTTTGCTTTAGGAAACAGGTTATCAAAATAGCTTATCATACAAAAGTGAATTTTGATGGGTTAATGCTTCCATCGTGACGTACCACTGATCTAGATTATACATTCATAGCCCGTAACATAGCTTTAAAGTGCAGTCACATTAGCCAAATTTTGTGGGCAAAACAAGGTCAAGGTCCATTGTCAACAACTGATGGGAAATTATGTTCTCTGCTTTAGATTACTCAGGAGATCTCTGATAACTCGCGAATCTACAGGCTGCTGGGTGCGGACAGGTGAGAGCTCACTAGAACACACATTGTACCTCCGTGGTCAGCACTGTTCTTGCAAACATTTTCTCTCTTTCTCAGAGTGGTGGTGTTGGAAAGCAAACCGACGGAAGACCCTACAGCTCAAAGTAATCTGTACATCCTCGCGGGCCACGAGAACACCTACTGACAACACACTGCCTTCACACACACTACATAATGCATGCTACAAAGTACATGTTCCTGAGACTTATACACCTCAATTTCCTTTATGAAGCTACTGAACAAAACACTACAGAAAAAAAAAACATACTCAAAGACAGTTGAAATTAAACACTACAGATTTTAATGCCAACTTTTTTGGTTTGGTATGATACCAGCCCCTGGTTGCTCGTATTGATACAAAATCGATACCTCAGTACAAGCAGATGTAGGTAGACCGTTTAATATGCGTGATAGATTCGCATTGCATGTAACGGCAAATCAAGTAATTTCAATTAATTTCCAGTTAATGCATTATATCTTTTGGTATCGTACAGGTTTAACGTAATTTTTTTGTACTGCCAAACTGCGTGAACTTGCTATAGATGCATTTCAGTGTCAGAGACCTTGATACACAACCATCAGTTCTGTGCGACTGAGATAACTAATGTGAAAACACAACAGTCTAGTACAAAAGTTGTCTAAAAGAGGACACGAATATCATGGCTTTTTATATCTGGCATGATATGCAGGTGTTTTACCATCTTGTTAGCTTTGTAGCTTTCAGTACTGCCCTGTAAACAGCTCCTCTCTGTCATGCTAATAGCAGTTCACACGGAACGCATTCTCGCATTTAAAAATAGAAGAACACAAGAATGTTGAAAAACAATTAGTAGAATGGAACGCAGAAACACGCTCTGTGTGAACCAACTGTAAGTCTAACAAACTCAGCTGTATTTTCTTCTGCTTCTCTTTCTCTACATTTCCCTCTTTTGGCGTCCACTGTTATCATAAGGGTGCAGTCCTATTAGTAAAATTTCTATGAAATTTTGCGGGTAAAAAAAGTCCATTGTCATGTGTAGAGATACATGAAGCACTTTCAGTGTCACTTTCAAACCAAGCAATTTTCTGTTGGTCAGGGCAGCAAATTAATGTGACTAATTTTAACCCGATGTGAAAACTTTGTGCGAAAATCTTTCACCCTAATGAGAAATTTGCTAAATAACTGTTAATGTAACTGCACTTTAAGGCTTCAGTAAGTTTTATGTCTCATTAGATCCATATTTCCTTATTAACAGCACAATAACAGACAGTGAAACCTTAGTGCATGTGTTTCTGTTGCTTTGAAAATTATGAATGTTAATGAGCTTATAGGCCATTCACACAGAATGCATTTTTGCATTTTAAAAAATGTGCGACCCAGGGCAGTGGAATGAAAAAAAAAAACATGCAACAAATCAACCTTCTTTTAACTTGAGAACCACATTTTTAGAACCGCATGTCATTTGCAAGACACTATGAGAGGTGCAAGAGTAAAGGTCAAGTCAATCTAGCATATGTTTACATACAAAACAATGAAAAAGCAGCAGAGAGAAATACAAAAACATGTTCTCTGTGAACAGAAAAAAATCCTGCAGTGAAGGATTTTGCTTATTAGTGATTTTTAAGGTATAATGATTTTTGCTTATTAGTTCCCACATTAAAAAATACTATAGTAATTTATAGTAAATACTATAGTGTTTTTGAACCATACTATAGTAAAGTACTTGAATTAATTTGTTGTGATAATTCTATAGTTGCTGTGGTAATATAACAACTATAGTAATATAAACAAATTACTTTACCCAATACTGTACTAAGTTTTCTACAACTATAGGGTATATTATTATACTACAATACACAACAGTTTACTGTAGTAAAAAACTAAAGGATACTACAGTATTTATTACAGTTTATCAGTTCACGATAGTTAATACTACAGTATGCTGTAGCATTCATTAACAAACTGTTGTAAATACTATAATATATACAGTATAATACACTTTACTATAGTATGGTTCAAAAACACTAGTATTTACTATAAATTACTATAGTATTTTTACACGTGGGTTGCCAAATACGAGTAATTTTGTTGGATTGTTTAAATATACACTAGGGGGCGCCATGTTATCATGATATTATTCTGCAACTCGTGTTACTCAAACTGAGGTAAAGGATTTTTAGTTACCATTTCCAGTGGATTAAGCATTGAATAATGAAAGTAATAACAGCCAATATAAATATTTTCATCAAAGTATAATCATTCATGAATGATGCTAATTCATTCATACTGTAGTGATATCCTTAACTCCTCCTTTTCATTATTAAAAAAGTACTGTGGCTGTATCATGGTATAGTGGTATCAGATGGCAATACCATATATATCATGGTTCTGAATGATTACCCTAGTCATATACCATGGTATTTACATGGTACTCAAGGTGCTTCAAACAATACCATGGTATTACCATAGTGCAATGTCCAAGAAATCATGAAAATACCACAATAAGACTGTTTGTAATGCTCGATACTGTAACAACATCTTGAGCCACTTAATGGGAATGGAGTGATTTTTAGAGTTTTTCTATTTCATTATTTATGCAGAAAGGCCAAGTGTCATGTTTTAGTTCATTACCAAGCACTGTATTGAAGGTTTGCACAATGCATTTGCTCACGTGTGCTTTTCTCTGTGTGCTGTGTGTGTGCACTTACAGGCTGTAATGTCAATAGTAAGAGTTTAACAGATAAAGAAATCCTATTAATCAGGCTCACTGAGAACTGAACAGAGACAATAACGTCTTACGTATGCAGTATGTGTAAATATGAAATGGGAAGTCAGAAAAAGCGCTCTTTCTAGAATGTAGCTGTCTGTGAAGCTTTCTAGCATTTTTATCAGTTCGAATCACATATCTGAATACGAACTGTTCTTTTTGTGTCAAAATAGCAAAATCATGTTTCGTTTAGCTGAATGCGCAAATTTAGCATGTCGTGTCTACCTCTAACATGCATTTAAAAACTCTACATAAGATCATACGCCATTAAAACCCTACTGCAAATAAAGCATCTCCCTAGCAGCAGTTTTAAACCCTGGGCTTGTCACGTGATCTACGATCTGGATTTTTGTCAAGACCCGAATGAAACCGTGTCTGAGCCTAATCTCCAGTAACATTTACTCTATATGTTTGAAAGAGTCATAATTGTGTTATTGGATGCTTTGCGTACAGAGCGTGTGTCAAACTACTCCATGTTCACTACAGCAGCGTTTTCTTGTGTGATGTGATGCACATGTCTTGTATATAGTGTAAAATAATTTGAGTTTTACAGACTGTATAAAGCCAATATTTTGTTTCAAATGTGAAACTCTTTTATGAAATTTAACACATTAAACCAAGGTGAAAAAATATCAAATACATCTGAATGGTGTTGTTATTTTTGTTATATACACACACATTTATACACAAAAATAAGTGTTACCTTAAAATAAGATTTGCTTTATTATAGCTTTATTTTAATTGTTACCATTTACATTTGCATTCAAATATATTTACATTTTTATTTGTAAAGTATACAGCATGTATTTATTAATGAGTAATTAACATTATACATTAGATCAGATATAGTTTTGCATCCTGTCAGAGCGGCCCAGCATAAACTGAACAAAAGATGGATAAGTGTTAAACTGTTTGTTTATATGGGTAAGTATATATTTGCATAAACAATGCAAGAACCAAAGGTTCTCAAAATTCTGCCCAAAATTATATTACTAATAATTTATCATGCAAAATGTTTTATGTCCGAAAGCATGAAACCCTCGACATTCAAGAGATATTTAGAGAGCAAACACTAAAGACCAAGCATTTGTGCATTCCCTGAAGCAAAACCAGTAGAGAACCACTTTAAACAGCAATTCCTCTGTCAATGTCTGCTGTGTGAGGGGCTTTGGTGGACTCCAGCTCTCCGCTGCTTTGACACTCAGCTTTCACTGTTGTCTTCTCCTTTCCGTCGCCACTAGACCTGACACACACACACACACACAGACACACACACACACAAAGTATCACGGCTTTAAATGTGAGGACATTTTTTATGTGCAAAGTAGCCGTGTGTCTCCTCTTATTAACTCACTTCTTCTTAAAGAGCTTCTTGAAGGAGTTCCTAAATCCTTTTCCTTCTTTCCTACTGTGTTCACTCAAGGGGGTGTGGTCATAATCATCAGACACACCCCTCAATTTGAGCTCCTCCCACACCAGGCTTCTAGGATCCTGAGGAACAAGCACAATGAGCTTTTAGTGAAAAGCTCAATTGTTTTAGTATGCATTTATTTAAATGTGAGTGTGTGTGAAAGCCTTTCACACACACTCACATTTAAATAAATGCATACTAAAACAATTTAGCTTTTAATTTTCAGCTTTTAGGGACAATTGTAAGGTTTTGTGGGTGGTTGCCAGAATGTCCATCTGCAGGCCATTCAGTGATTTGCTCTTTCTCTGCACTGCCTGTAGAGGGTGTGGTCTCACAATATCTGCTGAGTCAGGTGACACACAGGCTCTGTTGGACCTATAAACCACACCCCCAGCTCTTCGCCCTCTACTGTGGGACTGTCGAGGTGGACTATGAGAAGAACTACAACGCACAAAGGCAATATCAATGCTGGAGTCAGAGGAATGAGACGGGCTTGAGCAGCGAGAGCCTCCGGCTCCGTAGGGAAAGAGCGCACTCAGAGCATCAGAGAGGACAGATCCCGTTCCCTCCGTCTCTGGAATGCTGCGCAGAGGAACTGAGATGGCTTTGTGGCGAGAGTCAGAGTCAGACAGTAAGGAGACAGGGGATGGGATTTCTGGGTCGTAGTGATAGGGTGCCGTTTCATAGTCAGGGTAGCGTTTGTTACATCGAGAGGGATCACTTAAAATAAAAAAGACATAGAAAATGTATAAGGGTATTTCTTCAGTTCTGGGCACTTTTTAATGTTTTTGGAAGAGACATTAAAGTCTCTTATGCTTACCCAGGCTGTATTTATTTTATCAATTTAGAGTAACCGTTTTCAATTTTAAATATATTTTAAAATGTAATTTATTCCTGTGATGACAAAATTTTATTTTCAGCAGCCATTACTCCAGTCTTCAGTGTCACATGATGCTTCAGAAATCATTCTAATATGCTGATTTGATGCTGAAGAAACATTTATTATTATTACTATTGAAAACTGCTTAGTATTTTTCTGGAAACTCTAATACATTTTCAAAATTCTTTGATGAATAGCATTTATTTGAAATTGAAATCACTTGTAACATTATAAAAGTATTTAGTGTCTAATGAATGCATCCTTGCTGAATAAATGCATTTTTTTTTTTTTACTTTTGCACAGTGGTGTGTATCTCAAATTTAATCTCAAACACACTCTTCACTAAATAGACTATTTAGTAGGAAATTTGTCAGTGTGATGGAAAGAACACCACAAATGTGGAACATGCGATAAATAATTTTTTTTTTAAACTTATATAAGTAATATTTTTATGATGGATGAAAGGGTAAAAAATAAAATCCATAAAGGGCATAATGAAGGCATGGTTAAATTTACATAATAGTGCCTAAAGTAGAAACACCCATAAATTCACAGAGAGCTCATTTTGTGATATATTTGGTTGGTGTATCTATCTACTCACTTTTGTGTGCTGGTGTTGCTGTAATTTTTCTCATAGTCGACTTTATACAGCTGTCTCACTGTAGACCTGACATTAAAAACAAGTGCCAGTAAATCTTACAACACAAAAACACACACATTTGTTCATTTGAACTTACCTGCTAAGCTCTTTTTGGGTGTGTGAGGGCCGCTCCTGCTGGTGTGTGCACAGGTTGTGTGTGTGTTCTCGCAGGGCATGACTGTGTGTGAGGAGCTCCTGGTTGTGCTGTAGCAGATGGCTGTACTGGGTCATGAAAGATCGGAGTTGTTGCACAGACACCAGTAACAGGTAATAGTCTGGATGCTCTGACTCTGTCTGCTGCAGAAGACTCTAAAACACAGCAACATACAAATGGATGCATATATGCATTTTCTTTAATGTAGCAATGCTTGACCAAGGTGATACCATCACAAGTATCAAACATGCACAACTAACAAACATGCCTAAAATGCTGTTAGTATGACAATAAAGATGTATTTGACTACCTGGAGGAGAGTGTGGTATTCTGGGATACGTTGGACAGGTCGTAGAAGCAGAGAATGCAGAGATGGACGTGTCTCATCCCCTGTGATGTCACTCTGGATTTGAACACATACAACAAATTAGAAAGCCATTATGTGGATTCATCTCAAATTTATCCAAGGTAACCTAAACTTGTGTTTTATGTGACAACTAAATGATCTGGGTTTATTCAAAAATATGATTTCAATATTCTACTATTATGATAATAACAATATTAACAAAAATTATAAATATTAAATGAATATTATTTATTAATACGGTGAAATGAAATAGAAATGTCATTCATAGAAACATAATGTACCGTCTCTATCATTTCTCAGGCATTACACTATATGCCTCAAGTATCAGCATATTAAACAAAATTATGTTTTTAATCTTAGTTGCATTTATTAAATATAAAATGTGTGTATGTATACCTCCAGTAAGCTGGCTGATTTTGAAGAGGAGAACAGACTAACAACTGTCAAACATTCTGGCAGGTCCCGTAGGTATGATACATAATGATCCAAAAAATCACTCTGCAAAACACACATTTGAGATTACATAGTGCACTTTAGGGCATGGTAGGATGGCAAATTAAGCTCATTTTCGCTCTATAATATTTTACGTCTTTGCTAGTGAGCCTTAGAAATACATCTCCCATGATTCCTTGCCAGTGGCTCTTAAGAACTCTCTCCTGAAGGAGGTGAAGGAGTTCCAGATGCTGCTGAATCAAGAAGCGTAGAGAGGGAGGGAAAGGCCTGAGAGTAAGAAACGAGAATAAAAAAGCAGCATCATGCGCCTCAAATCACTGTTTTACAATACATTTTCTTCCTTAAAATATATAATTACTAAAATCTACTAGAGATGAGAAAGAAAAGAGTAACAAAATATGCTTTATATTATGTCTGTTCCACAGCAGACTATTACAATTCACAGTCTCTGTTTAGCACTGAATTTCTGACAGGGAGAACTGAATTAATGTTGTTGCCTGTGTAGGGGCCAATTAACATTTAACATTGGGACAACGCTACATAAGTGTGAGAGTGATACATAGTTACCGTTTGTCTTTGAGGTCGATGTTTTCCGAGCCATTAAAACTGATGTTGGCCTTTAACAGGAGTGAGAGATACGACACATACGCTCTCTCAGACTCCAACAGCTCCAGTGCTGCAGTCTGCCTCTGAGCTGAAAAAAAGATTGAATGATTTTAAAACTGGTCATTTATTTTTCAGTTCTTTTCACTTAAATTATTATGACAAATGAAAAATAAAAGCATTTTCACTTTTATTCTGCTGCATATCACTCACTTATAGTTGAGATATTTTGTTCTTTCAAATCTCGGCTGTTTTTTCTCTCCCTCCACACTGGAGACTTCTTTTGACCGTCATGCTCAGGACAAGAGTCTAACCGCAAAAACACAATCTATTGTCATCTTATACACTACCACGCTATCATTTCCACACTTGTGTTTATAGTACAGAACATAATTTCTAAATTGTAATACTCACTCTGATTAGCTGATAGGCTGCTTGTGTAATGCTGAATGAGACTGAGTTCTGTTTGGCTGTTTAGAGAGGCGTGGCCATCCACTGATCCCTCCCCCCTTGAGCCTTTCCTATCAATAATACCACATTTTACATTTAGTCGTTTACCAGACGCTTTTATCCAAAGCGATTTACAAATGAGGACAATAGAAGCAATCAAAATCAACAAAACAGCAATGATATGCAAGTGCTCTGACAAGTCTCGGTTAGCCTAAAACAGTACACATAGCAAGTTTTTTTTTAATGTTATTTATATAATTAATCAAATGAAAACAAGTAGATAGAATAGAAAAGAAAGAATAGAGAAACTAGTTTTAGAGGCCTTTTTTTTTTTTTAAAGAAAACAAGCAGTTAGAAAACGAAAACAAATTTTCAAAAGAAGTTACGTGCAGACTGAATCCCAAGTGTGTTAAATTGGGTCTAATGTTCAATACACTATACCATAAATTGTAAAAAAAAA